CGGGCCTGCATGCCGGGCATGATGGCCGCCGTTCCTTCCTGAGGCCTAGACGTTAATTGTAGCGGGTCATGATCAGAAGTTGAAGCAGCTTTGGCTTCTTACATTCTCGGCTTTAATGATGCTGTCGCTTATTTACAGGATCTTCTCCTGTTCTGGTGGTCGTTTTTGTTGGCGTTCAAAGTACCCAAGATATTCTTTGCCGTAGATGTCTATTTTAAGAACAACGTCTTCCCCCGAAGTTCTATTTGTTCTTTACGTCCTCGCACAGGCCAAGCTCATGTGTTAAGCGAATATTCGAATATTCGAACAGCATTCAGCAAGCGGCAAACTTACTCCAAGTGACTGTTTGTCAAATTAGAAGTCGAGCCATCTCCTCGCCAGTAAAAGCTGCTGTTGTTCTTGGTCTGTTTCTATATCTGTGATGCTTGATTTCATTTTGTCTGGCTTTCACAATACGTCCAACTTGTGGTATTCTAAAACTTTTGTCCTGTATTAAGATGCAGTTGCCGCAACCGGCGCGAAGTGGCGTTCAATGCTTTTATCCCACGCGGAGATGATGGCTCGTCTGATCTAGCTATTTCTTGTCTTGATTCTTACGTCCAAAATAAAATAACTCAGGTAATCTTCGCGTTCATCAGTTGAGGGTAGTTGTCTCGATTTTTCTAATTGACTAACTCAAATTGTGCAAGCACGTGTTTTTCGTCTACGTATTCGCATTCTCCTCTCCTAGCCTGCAATTGACTTTTTAACATCATTTTTCAGCGACAGTTAGAAATCTTCCTCTTTATTCTGTAACTTCTCTTTTAGGGAAACCACTAAAATTAAAATTCGGTAATTTATCGGAAATGCCGCCCTCTAAGATTTTTTCTAACTTCAGCTATTTTAGTTAAAAAACAACGGCCACGCCGCGTGCACGAAGGGAAAGAACTATTGTGATTGGCTTATTTGACGGTTTCGATGGCTATCGGATAACTTCACATGTTTAAGATAAAAATGGCACGTGTTTTGGAGGGAAGTGAAGAAAACACGTTTTAGGAACGGCAGAAATTCTGGTGTTTCATCGTGATTTATAATAAAACATTAAAAATGCATTTCCTGACCATGGCTATAGAATCTACATATCAGTTTTGTTCTGCCCGGCCTAATGATGGAGAAACGGCATCTTTTTGTTTTTAAAGCCGTAAGTAGATTAAACGACACAACTGTTTTTCTTTTTGAAAATAATAGGGAGAACAAAATTTTGACAGGCTAAGTATTTCAAAGGACGGACCGCACATTTAACCAGATGATACCATAATTGTATAAAGACTAATGGATAGGTTAAGCCAAAGTTAAAGCATCAGGGGCACTTAAACATAGCATTGTTAAACGGTGGGTATTGGTATATTTTTATCCCGTAAAAATTCTTCACCTGTTCGGATTTCAAACTGAAAGTCTAGTGATCCGAAAATTATAGGGATCAAAACTTACCTTTTCGAAAATTTCAGCCAGAAAAAAGGCTCCCGAAAATTCTTGGTGACCTTTTTAGGGTAAAAATCCGTTAAAAATGGGTAATTATACCATTTTTTAGATGTTCGAAAATTCTAGGAGAGGCAGGCAAGCAAGAAATCTTACAAAAAATGCTCCGAAATTCTAGAACTCAAATCACGGTCTTCCGAACAGATGTTTTCCAAAAATTGACGTTGGTTGCCCCTGACCTTATAAACCTTAAGCGAAAATTTGTTTAAAAAAGCTTTATTTTAGCATCTTTTACGTATGCAAGCTTCATCTATGCATGGATTCGAAGACATTACAGTTATTAAGTATTTCAAACACTGGCTAAATAAGTCAATAAAGAAGTAAATAATTATATTTTAAACAAAAATGCTGCTCTATTAAAATTGGACAACCAAACAGCATAATCTAAATGGATTAACAATTCAAAAGGCATTGTGCATATGCCAGTGAATACACGAATTCTATCACGTCTAAGGCGACCTCTGTACCTAGTAAAATACATCTTAGTGAACAGGCAAGAGCAGGTGAAAGTACGCTAACTACTATTTTGTTTTGTTTTGTTTTTTCTGTTTAAAACACTCATAGCAAGGTTTTGTTAAATTTATTATTTGTATTTGTATTTAATATTTACTCCGTCCTATAGATAATACATTAGTTGTACAATATTAATTAGTACAAGGTTGTTTAAACTACGTGTACCTAAGAAAAAAAGAAAAAAATTAGAATGGAGAAGGGCACATTATAGTAAAACTAATTATGGCCCTTTAACAAGATTGACTTTATTCTATTATAGCTTTGTTATTCATTAAAACACAAACACGCACGCACGCACACACACACTTACACAGACAAAAAAGGCAACAAATAACACTAGACTAGCCAGCTTCAAAAGACGCGGCCATTATCATCGCTGCCCGCTGACCGCCGTATTATTAATACGTTTTTGGTCGAATTTTTTAACTTGATAAGATATTGCCTAAACTGTCATTTTTTATTTCCTTAAAAAGAATCAACAGAACACACCACGCCCAGGCAAAAACAGAAAACAAGTCGAATCAACAACACACTGCATCTATGGGAATTTTTATTCGAGCTTCTTGAAGACGAGAGGTACACGGCGCTAATAGCATGGACAAGGAAAGACAAGGGCGAGTTCAAAATCAAAAGACAAGAAGACGTGGCTAGAAAATGGGGGAGGTTAAAGCAACGAACCAGCATGAACTACGATAAATTGAGTCGAGCGCTGAGATATTACTATCACAAAGGGATTATTAAAAAGGTGACTTCAAGAATCTTTATCAGAAAACAATGTTCCTTAAAGTTCTTTTAACACCGAGAATTTTCCTTATCTAGAAGTCTTTTGATTTTTTTCAAGTTTCCAACAAAAGTTCAACCTCGTCCCCAGGGCGCTTTTCCCTGGCTTAGGAAAGCCAGGGAAAAGCGCCCTGGGGACGAGGTTGTTTTACAAAGCATTGATATCTCAAGGAGAAATTTGATGCTGATCTCTCTTAGGGCTTAAGGGGTTAAGTTCACGTAGGGCTGGAATAGTAGTGCCTAGATTCCTTGAGTCCTTGATAAGTGCCAATCGACTCTCAAGTGTGATGTCGAATGTCAGTTTGTTAGCTTTGCTTATTTCCCCCAGAGACTATTTCAACGTTCGTTTATTTTCAGGTTCCTGGCCAAAGACTTGCTTATAAGTTCGACAAGCTGCCTTATTCGTACAAACCAATTAGGTATAACTGGCCTTGGAACCCCCCCGGCGAAGATGACGACATCAAGCCAGATAGGCAAGTCCTTGACACGTCCCCTGCTACTAAGGCAGCAAGTTGGCCCCTTTTTCTGGAATGGAATGATCTGGAAAAGCACGTCAAACGAGAAAAGCTTGATATCGTCACATCCCCAGCTTACAAGAAAACGTTTTGTCCAATGACGCCGACATGGGAAGTTGCTGAGGCAGACGGGGAAGTCAAACCTGTTAAACAGGTTCCATCACCTCCTCTACACTTTACAGAGAATACCCCCAAGGTGCCTTCACACGCATTGTTTCGAGAAAAACAAGATGACAAACTAGCTAGACAGAAAAAAATTCCCCCGCTGGTTTCCATAAAACCGCACTTACATACAATGCCAACGTGGAAGAATGCTAAAAGAGACCAAAGCTTCAAACCAGTTGCTAAACAGGGCAAAATACCACCTTTAATTCCAGTTAAAACCCATTCGCCGGCGTTACCTAGGAATAGGGTGCCCATTTCTCTGCAATGCCATCACAGAAATCGTGATTACGAATTTAGTCACTTCGGTTATCCTTCCCAGCATCCTTCGCAAGGGGTATGCCGCAGTCAGATTATTTTCCCGCCTTGCAGTTGTAGTTGCATGAGATCAATGGCGTGTGGTATGTACCTGGTTCCGGATGTGCCACCGCAAGTGCCAGGAAATGTTCTAATGAGATTTGCATAGCTAATAGGAGGGGATTCCAAAATGGCATTTGCTTGTTTGCCTACACTGTTAATTCAAAATACTTGTTTCACTCCTGATCTTTTGGCTTGTTTGAAATGAGTCCGGGCCTCTGGAAGAGGGATAATTAATTCACTCATTTCGTCTGCCTCATGATTTGAGCAATTTACAGGAACTTCCTCTAAATTCACCTGAAATATTTACATATCTTTTTCAGGAATTCCTCAAAAGTGAATGGGTAAAAATCATGTAAATAATCATTTACAGCACCTGTTCTGAAGATTTAGATGTTATTGAAATGTTTTATTACATGTTTCTACATACTACGTAAATTTTAACCTTGCTAGTGAATTTGGTAGGAATGTTTGCCCAAGTTTTACTTGGAAGGGGGGGGGGGGGGAGTGGGGGTCTGAATCTTTTGAATACAATGATAAGCATACTTCATATTTTACTTAACTATGCTAAAAGCAACCACCTACAAATCTATAGTAAAGCTCACTAGTTATATACTTTTGATTGTACTCATTCATGTTTATCACGTCATACACCGATTCTCAACTAAATTTTATGTATAGTTTACGTAAGTGTCAACAAATTTTTTCATCCGCCCCCCAAAACAAGTTTTATGTGATTTCTCGCTGATAAATCCTTTGAAAAAATTAGGCATTATTTTTAAAGGAAATATGGGGCTCAAAATCATATTTTATTTAAAATACGTATCATCGAATCATGGCCGATTTGAAGAATTATAAAGCTTAATTAAGGAGAATAGAAACAATGGTAGAAACTTAAAAATCAGACTTCCATTTTTAGTAGACCGAAGACTTTCCCGATCCCATTTAAAAGGAGTTATGCCACAACCTTTGCTGTCTAAAACTCTTTTCGAATCAATTGGATTCCATAAAAAATGGCCCAGTTTTGTTCAGTTTGAGACTATATTTGTTTCCTGTTGTCTGTTGCAACGAATGGCAAGAATGAACATGGAATGATTTGTGCTTCCTGATGATGAAATTTGATTGACATCTTCTTCATAACCGGCTCTACAGAGCTTTTTGTGTGTGGGAAAAGTATTGACTTCCGCACAGAATTGACCTAAAACAGCAATATCCTTGAGAGGAAGCCCCTTTAACGTTTAGTGTTGATTATTTTATTCGTGTCGACATGCAATCATTTCGAGTATTTCTCTAAAAACTTAACGAATAAGCCCGAGTAGAATAGCGAAGATACGCTTTAAAATGTTCTGTAAATATCGCTTACATGCTATATTTAATTGCTGTCTTCCTTTAAAGACCAAAGGAGTGCAACAAAGTACTCAGTTGTATTGTAAATATACACTTATATGTAACCTGTTATTCAATATTAAAGTTTCTTTTAAAGCTTGATTTCCTGTATTCTTTCAAAAACTATACAATGGGTAGAACTGGACTACTACGAAACGGTCTTTCGGATCAGGAATGTTAAGGTCTTTTCTTTAAACAAAAACTGAAAATTTCTCCCCGTGTGTAGTAGGGGTGTGGGCCACAAACGAAACTTACCAGACGCACCGGTCTCCCCGGGGGGGGGGGGGCGTTACTTGGTATATTTTTTGAGGGGTATGTGCCGCTGGCCTCTCAGAACCCCTACCCCATTATAGCCTATTCTGTGGCCATATTATAAACCCCACCTTAGTCACTTTTAGCAAAAAGTAAATTTTGTAATCCCAACTTAGTCACTTTCTGTTTATGCATCTACTTTTTAAAGCCTGTTAAGGGACCAGTCATAATTTAAGTTGGGGGGGGGCGGTGGAGGAGAAAGTGTTTTTTATCCCAAATTATTTCCAGACCCCTACTAATAGCACCCATGTTTTTTAGGCACCCCCCTTCAATCATGTTAAAAGATTTAAGGACCCCCCTTTCTTACATAATACCCAAATGGTAATAACAAATGACATTTTCTTTACCTTACCGTTCTTACTCACTGTCACTTCGGAATGCGCCAACTAACAACAGAGAAGCACTTCACACTAAACTGAGAAATAAATTTCACCTAGAGCCTCTCAAACAGCTTATAGAGCAAAAATATAACAGTGATTGTGTTATAATTGAGATAAGACAAGCCATCGAAAGGTTAGAGGCCGGCAGGACCGCTTCAAGGAAGAAAGAAGATAATCATCCAAAGCTTACTGCTTTTTATATGAGCAGTACATGCTCTAATACCAAAAAACTTGACGGTGACACAGACAGTGAGTCCACATCAACCTCATCTACAAATAATGATTCGGATAGTGAGATTGCATAACATGACTTTATGCATGTAATCATTTGTTAAAATGCCATTGAAATTGTTTCAGTGTTACACAATAATGAATGTTGTGTTGATGCACCTACTATTTGAGCACTAAATCTTTTTGTCAAAATGCTGATTAAATTGTTTTAGTATTACACAATATAGGACTTTGTGTAAAACTGAATCACAATCAGGTCCTTTAATACTCAAGCATCATGCTGCTCAGTAGGGATGCCACTTAAAAGAAACTTGAAGACCCCCCCAAGGTCATCTTTTGGCATTTTAAGGCCCCCAATATTCTATCCAAAAATAACTGAAGGCCCCCCAATTTCTCCTCCACCCCCCCCCCCTCCCACTCCAACTGAAATTATGACTGGTCCCTAACTACAATAGGTCAGCATCCCGAAATGAACTAACACATTTGTTAAACTTAATACGGTGTAAATTTTTCTATTTTTAAATGCCTATACTACACATACCTGAAGTTTGTGACCCCCAAAATCCTGAACATGTACGACTCCATTCTAGCAACTCTTATAAAAATGCAACCCCATATCGTGAAAATGCGACCCCATTCAGCGGCACATACCGATTAGCCTACAACCAGGAAATACCCTCCCCCCCTCCCCCTTCCAGTGGTAACGGTGCGCGAAACAAACGGAACTCATCAGACGCACTGCAGTAATCATTTTTATTATGTGATTTTTATCTTTCACGTGTGAGGATATTGGTGTCGCCATGGTTACTAAAATGATTAGCCAATTACAAGAGAGCTTCCCTCTCAGGCGCGCGGCCTGTTCTTTTGAAATTTCAATCACAAAATGACTTCGAGGTGCGAAGACGATAGTTACCGGTGACTTTCTCGATGAGTGGCCAAATTTTCACATCGATACTTTTTCCGAGCTTGAAGAACATTCAGGAAGATTTTCCGAAGTCTCGGAAAGTGATGTTGAAAAATTCATTGAGGAGGAAGAAAATGTAAACACTAAAAAAGAGACCTTCTAGGACTTAAAATTAGTCATAAAGTTTCTGGTAGAAGAGCGCCAAGAAATCAGAGAAATAGAGAAGATTCCTCCAACTGAATTAGACAGCTACTTGAGCCAGTTTGTTTTAGCTGCAAGGACCAAGACTGGAAAAGATTTTGAACCGTCATCTCTCCGCGGAATTTTGGCTAGTTAGCTAGTGTTGAACGCCATTTGAGTCGCTCCAGTTACGTAACTATCTTCAAAGATACTGATTTCAAAAAAAAAAAGCGACGCGTTGAAAGCGAAACAAAAGCAACTCAAGCGACATGGACTCAGAAACAGACCAAAAGCCACAATGGCTCTTACTGACGACGAAATTGAGATTCTTTTTGGAAAAAAGTTGCTTGGATCAAGTTCACTGCAAGCTCCGTTAAATACTGTGTGGCTAAACAACATGATTCACTTTGGCCTTCGCGGATGTAAGGATCGAACAAAAAGAACTCCGCTGGGGAGACATCGTTTTAAAAACTGACAGTGATGGTAAAGAATATCTCGAGTGCCGCCAAACAAAGACTCGAACGGGAGAGGATCCACGGAATCAACGGCCGATCAAGCCGCGAATGTATGCCAACAACGATGCCATTTCTATCGATCGTGATTCGGTGCACGTTTACAAGATGTACAAAGAAAAACGACCATCATCCATGCTAGAAACGGATTCAAGTTTCTATTTGTCTGTAAATTACTTTAAAACTGAGAAACTCATGCATCAGTGGAAGGCAAAAACTGGTTCAAAGCACAACCAATGGGAGTGAACAAGTTAAACAATATCATGAAAGAAGTGACACAAGCGGCGGTAAATTTCAGGCAAAACAAACTACAGTGGTAGAAAAACTTTAGTGCAAAAACTGCAGCACAGTGGAGTTCCTCCCAACCAGATAATTCAAATAACGGGGCATAAAAACTTACAGTCAGTTAACAATTACAGTTCTCTGTGAGAAAAGCAAGTGGAAAGTATTTCACGTAATCTTTCCTCGACAACTAAAGCCGCTACCAACGTCGCCATTGCACAAACCGAAAACAACATGACAGCGCAACCCCTGGCTGAGTATCGAATCGCTTCAACGTCTACCACTTCATCTACTTTGGATGTGAATTCCTTCAATAAGAATAGGCTTCAAACGATGTTTCACGGAAATTACATAACTGGAGGCGTCTTCAACATTAACTTAGCTCCCGCAAAAAATGAAGTAAAGAGTCCAGAAGTTGACCCGAAGCATTATCAGATAGTAGCCAAGAATCCACAACATGATGCTATTTTAAGATACGCTTTTGCTGTCATAGAATTTTTCTCTTCTTCATTAGAATTTTGACTTTTTGGAACAGATAAGTATTATTGTCTTTATTTCTCCTTTATAACTTTATATCCGAGTTACGTAACATTTTTGTGACAGGCATTTTGCGATGGGTGACCGTTTTAATTGCACTATTATGCTGTTTTCAAAATTAATAATAATAAAAAAAGTTGTGTTTTATGTAGGAATTTCATCAGTATCTATAAAATAAACAGAATATTACATGGCCGCTTGGGGATACGAATTTTATCTTCTCGTGCTGAAAGTATCTCTCACGAGTGAGCTTCGCTCACTTGTGAGAGATACTTTCAGCACTCGAAGATAAAACCTGTATCCCAGCGCGGCCATGTAATATCCTCTATATTCGCGACAAGCTTGGAAGGCAAATATCAATGCTTTTCTATCCTTTCGCTCGTTGACAAACTTTGGGCAAGCACTTTTGAGTGGGTTCGCACATTTCCTTCTAACAGGATAAACAAGAAAAACAGGGTATTTGAAGAGAGTTAAGCGCTTGACTTTATTTTGTAACATGGGTTTCAACATTTGCCATAAAGAAATCAGTGATGTAGACAGTAACGGAATCGAACTTCGGTAACAAATAATTGTCCACCATCAGCATTTATAATAGTGTTCTTCCCGGTAAAAGGAAATGACGTTTTAAGCGAAAGTTTGCTGTCATCAAAACAACAAGACAAACAATGCTTTGCGGTCGCAGTTCACCATCATTTACACCTGTCCGCCATTTTGAATTTCTCGAGATAAAAATAAAATATTAATGATAATAGTGATAGAAAAAGAAAACAGACACGAGGTGATGTTCCTTGCCACAGTAATCACGTGTGTAAGTGTCCCAAAACCAATACTTTTGCACCAGTTACGTAACAGGGCAAGAAAAAAATTTACTTGCTACGTGACTGAACCACCGGCTTCTCTTACAACAACCCTAAACTTTGGACCTCTTTGTTTATAAAGATAACAGACGCCTTCTGCAGGATTTAAGTAGGAGTGAAACCTGGTGCACATGCACAACGATGAACCAGACAGGCGAAGTTTGTTCCACCATTTTGACCCCGAAGACAAAACTAGACGGTAAAATAGTCTTATAAAAATAGTTGTTCACGATTTTTCAAACATATAAGAAGTTACTTGAATGATTACATTAACCGTGGCCAATGTGATATGGGATGGTTTCAAGCTTGACAGATGGTAACCAGTACATGACAGGTTTTTCTAGCGCCCGCCTTTAAAAATATGTATATTTTTCATGGTTTCATCCGGAAACAGGATGCTAACTGTAAACACCAAACCTCATTCAGCAGAGCCCCGATGTAACGAACCTCCATATATACGAAGTTTTCCGTATAACGACCAGTCCGGCTTTGTAAGTCATAACTTTTTCTGTATCTCTAACCTGAACACTCTTGCTTTGACCACGAAATAGCTCTTGAATATCGTTACTGTAAGTGAGAAAACCATGCAATGGTGTAATCAGACTAGACAAGTAGTGTTATTATGGGTACTGAAATTTCAATTCTTTTATCATAATCTTTTGTTTCTTATACTTAAAAGCATTCACATGGCCATATTTACAAAGAACGCTAGACACTGGCGATAGACAAGCTTTTAATGTGTGCAAAATCAGGGGCACCCAGCGACTAAATGTTTCCAAATACTGTAGGTCAGTAGTGTCTCAAATAGTTTTATCTAAGCTTTAGAAGGCTGATTGATTAATTTGGAATTGCCCTAAAATCTATTTACACTGTATTTATCTGTTAGCTTCTCACGGTGATGGGTCAGGTCCAAAGTATGAGAAAATCGACTAACCTTACTTCACTTGAAACTTCTATGGGACGTTTTGTCTTTTTTACACGATATTATAATTGTAAGATGTCTTGGTATATGTCCCAATTGAAAACACAACCTCCGAAAATCGTAGATTTTAGTAGAAAAATTCCGAATATCCTAGACGACTGCAACATTTATGCATAAATTGTCAGTCTTCCTCGAGCTTTACAAATTTCTTGCTCCTTCGAACAGTTATTTTACAGAAAAAGTCGTTGGGTGCCCCTGTAAAATGAAGGACGATATACCGGTACACCCTGAACTCTACATAAGTTAGCAATAGTTATTTTTCGATATTTTGAGCACAATGGACAATTAAGCCATCAACAATAATCACTAATTATTCAACCCCACTCAAACCCATTGAAGACCCGATGGCTGATTTCCTGTTTTCCTGTCTATACACAAAATCCGTCAATGATTAGGACTTCTCCACCAAATTCTTTTCAGCATTAATTAAACCGATTTTAGGCTCATTGCTAATCGAATTTTACTTAAATTCTTGGCTCCCGTTATTGTAAAAATCTTAGCGTCAGTCTTCTTTAACTTTCATTCAAATCATGTTTTTATGATTCTGTATTACCGCATGACAATAAGAGCATCAACGAGAGAGCTCTTTGATTCAGTCCTAATGAAAAAGTATATGATTCGAGATATTACTGATAAAAATTGCAATGTTTTACAAGGCTCATTTCATAAGCAATATTAATGTTTTTACATAGTAGAACTGTCTACAAGAGCTTAATGACACCTTCAGATAAGCTCAGTTAGTATTCACTGCCTCGACTCAATCACAGCACATGCTTGGAACGAAAAAAAAAAATCTGTTTGTTTGATGACTCTGGTGCGTTTATTATTGGTTGATGAATAGCTTTCAGGCGTGGTTTTATCAATTTGCTCAATATTAAACATGTTGTACATGCAGTAGGTTTGCAAACTTAGACCAATTAAAAATTATATGAGACAGTCAAGCAACCATCATTGTTGTGATGCTTAAACCTCCCTCAGAGATCGCAGTGATTTTATTTTTGAAAGGAAAAGAAAAAAAGAAAAGAAATGTAACCTATAGCACAGGATGAGGTTGCTTCGGCTAACTCTCAGTGACAATTTTCGACAGAAAATGACAAATACTATTTTGCTTCCAAGGAAAATGGGCCAACAAAGTTTAGCTTCGCTACACTGGGACTCAGCGTATTGCTCCTCATATTTTTGGCTTGAAGAATGTCCAAGAAGGCATTTGAAAACATCGAACTTTGAAGAAAAATATCGTCCTGCTACCTTTCAACTCTTTGATCTGTGGTTGGAATTCTCGGTGGTGTGACAACGTACTCATCAAGATCTGTGAAACCTGTTTAGTATTATTTAAATAATATTGTTTGTTTTTGGTCACTTTTACAGTGTTTGGGAACTTTTTTATGATTATTTGGTTATTTTAGATACGCTGAAGTTCGAAGTGGATTGGTAAAAACATAAACATAAAACTCTAACCCTCCTATACAGTTCTATTTCTTGCCCAGAGTCTGTGGTTCTAACAGTAACTTTTGATTCTGTGGTCGATATTTATCGGTGTGTCCATTCAAATAAAATCTATTTTGCAGTACTTTCAATGGCACTTAAATTGTTTTTCAGTATTTTCCAAAATGAAATTTGAAAATTTTACTGAATTGTGACTTTGGCCTTTTGGGGCATGAAAGGGTTAGTGTACTTGACGAGTGGATGCTCATCTTGATTACTTCAAGAAGCAGTTGTAAGAAAACCTGCTAATTGCAAAGAGTTAAGCCTAGAATTTTTAGAACGCCTCAAAGACATAATTCAAGACAAGTCTGAAGGGATAGTGGCTCATTAAACTCAACTAGTGCGGAAGAGCTTTATGAACGGTCAAACGGCAGCTGATGATGTACCGAAGGACCGCCATTGCTTCGAAATCACAACTCCAAAAAAACTGCTTTTAAATATGTAAATTTTTAAATCCGAGAAAAGATGATTCATGATTTAAGAGGTAAGACCACAATATTTTTACAATAGACTTACAAATTAGAACTACATAAAGTAAGTCTTTTTGTTGTCTTGGCCACAAACAATCCAGCAGATGGACAACCTTGCTCTTTACCTGATTAATTTTGTTGGAAACTGGCGACAGACAAAGCTTTTTAAAAAGCATGTGCTAAATAAAGGCACGAAGTAGATCAGTTAGGACATGAATAGTACACTGCATTTAAACCTCCTCAATTAGCAACGCAGTATCTCTGAAGACATAGGACATTTCTTTCTTTGGAGTCTCAGTATAAAAGAAACCACTCAAAAGAAATCTCTTTGGCAGTATTTAACTGTTCTATGGCTCATAAAAATTTTACCCGACTACATGCAATCAGGCACAAGATTTAAATGCAACAGTTCTCTTGAATTCCTTTTTTGCAACATCATCATGCTTCTTGGACTGTGTGAATGGATTCGAATGTCATTAACTAGAGAGCTTTGCGTTGTTTCAAAGGGAGGCTATCCATTTGCAACTATGAAACCTATAATGTCTTAATGAAGAAGCATTTGATTCTGGATACAACGGGATTTTCAAAGTTGTGTTGAAGCTTAGTTAATGAATAGTGTTGTTTGTACATGTA